TCTCTCTCTCTCTCTCTCTCTCTTTCTCTCTCTCTCCCTCCCTAAAGCAATCAAGTAAATCTACCCCTCGTTTCGTTTGCAGACACTAATATACTTCTATGAGCCAATAGAGGTGGAGCAAGACCAGGTGATTGAAGGCTCTGTGACACTGTCGCAAAGCAAGGAAAATCCTCGCTTCATGAATATACATCTTGAATATGCGTGAGTCTTTTTTTCTTCTCTCTTTGCTCTGCGCCAACACTATGCTTCATTCATTTATTCAGCTAATCATTTGCCAGATCCGGGGGTCGCTCTTTCATCAAGGAATCCGTAATGCGATGATGCAAATCAGGCATCAGCTATGCCAACCACACCCTCCCAAGTTTTAAGCATTTTTAGTGGTTAAGCTGGTAAAAAATGGCATCTGTTTGGAAAAGGATGGAACCCAAGAATGTTTATGTACGGTGTTTCTTTCTAATTGTCAATTCATATTGTGTAATTTTTTTACTTTGATTTTTTTTAACATTTTATTCAATGTGCTGCTATTAAAATCGAGCACTAGAGCTACCGATTCTCTATCACTGGACGAATTGGTTAGATTGATATTTTTATATATTTTATGGAAATTAAATTAGTAAATTTATGCAGAAAACATCATTAATTGAATATTTAAATAGTTAAAAGCATATAAATACCTAAATTAGTTCGTATAATGATTTATACATATCTAATTTAAAGATGCATTTTTATATTAGAAATATACTTAAAATATTAAAACTTTTTTCATAAAAATAAAAGAAAAAACTAACAAAAGTTGAATATGTTCGATAATAATGCAATAACGAATGACCACCACTTGATCGTCTTCACGCCGCCGTTGTCAGCCATGCTCAACTTAAAGAAAGGAAGAGAAGACAGAAAAAAAATAATGGGGGTGAGCAAAACTATTATGCTCACCATTACCGCACAGTATATCCCGCATAAAGATTCAAAACCATAAATAAAGTATGCATATAATCCAAGCTCTAGCTCTCTACACGACCCTATCGCAAACCTCCTATGTACATACAACAACCTTCCGATCAGACATCGACAAGGAGTAACCGGAAACCTTCGCACCCCGGGTACAACGGGCGAGGGATCCTTTCTAGGAGACAGTGGAGCTGTTCTCCCCTCGAAAAACACACGGATCAAGGCGTCCTCCTCCCGGATACAACGGGCAGGTGACCTCTCACTGCTTATGCATTCATCAAAGGCACTATCAACGGGACACTTAGACTAGTGTTCTCACGCATACAACAGCTATCGAAACAAACATTTATACGAAATAACAAGTGCGATAATTATAGATACAACGTAAATGTACCCACCTGAAAGCAGCAATATCATAAACACAAGGCTCGAAAAGATAGGATTTGAGGTCAACACCTTGAAACACCTATACGAAATCCAGATAACCTCTCGATTACAACAAATCCAACAATCACACAAACTTAGTCGAAACTCGTCGACTAACTGGCTCGTGGGAAAATTCTCGTGGAGTTATGGAACATTCGACTCGACTCAAAACCAAATATGGGAAAGACACATAATAATCAAATAAGGGTTAACCAGGTCAAACAAAAGTCGAAAGGGTCAACTGAGGTCAACGGCTAGGGAAAAAGTCCGAAAATCGGGGTACGAGCTTGGGCTCGTATGCAGCAGGCCGCAACAGGGCGTTGCCGGCACGCAGCACCACTTATGGTACAACTCGGCTATCTCAAAATACACTTATGGTACAACTCGGCTATCTCAAAATACACCTGAGGGTTCGACTCAAAATTTTAAACACATATAAAGCATCAACAGAGAGCAACATATATGAAAAATCACATAAAAATTCAGACTTTAACAAACTAAACTAATAAAATTTGACAAGAATATTACATTTTCAAGTTGGTCAGGCAAATGAACGAATTTTGCTTTGAAATTTGAACACATAATAGATATCACTGAATACATCAAACTCACCAAGTTTCAGCCATATCACTTAAACATGCGATTTTATAAAATTAAAACAATATTTCAGCAAAAACAAGCATGAATTTAAAGTATGACCTAATGAACGATTTAAGGCCTGAGATTTTTACAAAAACAACTACAACATGCGTGGTATAAAATATAAAATTTTCAGCTAAAAACAATGAACACAAGATTTATAGCAATTAATGCAAGATTCAACAGAAATCATGATTTTATCAAAACCTATCAAAATGAATTCAATAAAATCTGGGATTTTTATATGACATAATAACACATCAATTGAGCATATAAACCAAGTTTCAGGCATTTTCAGTAAGGGACCGATTTATCAGGAATTAAACAAGTTTCAGGCGAGAATTTAAAATAATCATTTACCTTAGCAAATGGATTCCAAAAATTATGAAATATTAACACAAGGTCAACACACATCAGGAAACAACATATCAAAATTTCAGAATTGTTGGATAACAACTCGATTTATAACAGATTTTACAAAAAACTGCAGCAACATAGACTTAAAAAATTCCTAACTCAAAATCTATAACTCAAAATGACACAGTGTCAAAACGAGCATCATAAGGACAACCATATGTTCCATAATCCTAAAGA